CGTTTGTGCAGTGCGTAGAGTACTGGAATTGCCTTTACAGGTGTGCGACATAAATTTTAAATCGCTAGTTCTCCCAGCTATGAAGTATGGGGGCGTAAATTTGGGGACTGTATAGGATAGATCGATTGCAAAGCATCGAAACGGGCTATTACAAATTCATTCTCTGAGTCTCCAGATTCGCAGTATATGTCAGCGTCTGAAGAGAGGTCGGTAGAGTAGGAATTTGAAAGATTTTAAAATGAACCCCATTAAGCTCTGTATTAGAGTAGCAGGTGAACAGGATGACATGCTTATACATAGGTGTTTGAGAAAGCAAATAGGGGAAAGCGATCAGCGCTACAACTCGAACACAGTTAAACTGTTAGTAGAACGCGCAGGGAGACGTTATTCAGTAATTAAGTTAATAAGACATTAAGAAATAAAAAAGTAAATCGATAAACAAATAATTTTATAATTAAATAAATTTGTTTGCTTTTATTTTTCTTTTTATCCACTTATCTTGTAGCACCAGGTTGTGTGTGATGAGGCAGGATTCTATAAATATACAAAGGTATTTCATTCAACAGAAAAGATCAACTAAAATGTTGCTCAGAGATATCTTTTCAAATATACAACATGCATCAAACTTCTTAAAGGTCATCCGTAAATTATATAAAGCAGATTTGGAATATTTTGAACATCCCTCTCCCTCCTGTAATGCTTGCTTGAATCCACTAAATAGTGACTTAATGCTTGCATCACCAACCCCACCCCCTTCATTACAATAAGTTAAAATACATTCTACAACAGTAAAAATAATTTATATTAATGGATTTCAACTACAACTACAAATATTTGGATTGAAACTACAAGTGCGAGGACAATTTTTTTAATGTAAGGTGAGAAAATTTCTGACAAGCCAAGAACACAACTTCATCGATGATGCATGTGCAGGAGTCTAGAATGTACTATAGATCAGTTTTGAATTTTTTCTTCGTAATGTAACAGATTCAATCAATATACCATTAAATGTAAAAATATTTCAATTCATACCAATAATTTATACATAATAACTTTTTTATTTATTTATATTTAAAAAATATATAATTTGTGAATATTTTAAAGTTTTGTTTTATTATAAAATAAAATAAAAGGGATTATCACAGTAAATGTAAAATTTTGAAAAAATACCAGCATCTTATTACATTAAAAGAACACCCCCTACCTCTATGTAACACAGAGTATCGTTACCTCAAGCACCCGGCCCTCCTTCAGCCACACATAATTAATGGACAACCCCTTAACTTCCCTTCTGAAGGAATGTATCCAATTTAATCAAAAATCAGTACTTTTAATTACCAATTTATGAAATACGGATTTCAAGGGGACACACTTTTCTTCAATGTATCCAAGCAATATCAAATAAAACTGAGCCTACAATATTTTCAATTCACCCCTAAGTTTCATGTTCCTTTTCTATCCTCATATCTTCTGAATACTTGCTGTGTCACAATCTTGATATAGGTTTTCATTCTTAATAATTTTAATACCTTTCAATAATCTGTAAGTTCACACATGGAACTGGCATTCCTGTACTTAAGCATCTTTGAAAAACCAAAGATTTTCTGTTATACAACAAAGATGGACATTAATTCAAATTAAGTATGAAATCTCTTGATTCACTTATAGTCATTTGAGCACAAAAGAATTGGGGTCTTAAGCTTCACGTAAGTGAAAAGGCAGAAGGAATACACAGCAAAATCATGGTTTAAAGCTTCATTAATTTTTCAATGCTCATATGCCAAGGCATACATGAGATGTCCATGTAACAGTAGGAGGCTGGAGAAGTAAATGAAGTGGTAGAGCATAAAGATCAGTTCATTCCCATGTGTGCAGAAATTGAAAGAAAATTACACAGCTTCCAGCCATGTAAGAGACGTCTATAGTTTCATTGGATACCCAGAAAATCAGGAGATATACAAAAGAATCCTTATTACAAATTTCCAATGCACTCAGAAATTAATAGAGAAATGTGCAGCCTCTGGCCAAGTGAGAGGTTACAATCTACATTAGATGCCCAAGAACTCTGAAAAAATAAAAACAGGAAACATTTTCAATCTTAACTGAAAATTGTGAACATTTGATTGTGTTTTTCCACCTATTCTCATACTCTGTGCACTGACTGAATTCTCATAATCAGTATGTTACTGCATACAACACAGTTGTCATGCAACAGTAAGGCTCCAAGGGAGAGGCCATCCATCATTAAACATTTGCTATTCATGTATTGTGTTTTGGAACATCTTTTTTTTATATTCTTGGTATGTAAAGAACTATTGTACTCGTACTGTATACACACCATGTTAATAAATACCTATATTAACTAAAACAGTGTTCTCAAATACTGCAATAGCATGGTGTGTACAGGTATTTAGGTATTAAATACCTATATTAACAAAAACAGTGTTCTCAAATAGTGCAATAACATGGTGTAGTATTTCATTAGTTGATCATGAGCAGTGTGCATGCTTCTTGAAAAAACATTTGTGTGGTTTTAATCAGAAGAATGTTCACTGCTGCAGACCACTAATTTTATCACTCTTTCTTGCAAACTACTAACATGACATAGAGAAAGTTTTGTAATGCTGCATCAAAACACTATGATTTTCTTTTATAGAAAAACTCATATCATAGGTCCGAAACAGAAAACTTGGCTCCAATGTGCAGTAAATACGCTTCTCTAATACATTGTGTAGTCAGAAGTTCTGTGGTTCTTGATTCTGAAATTGGGTTACAGCAAATTGTCTGTCTGTCCTTGCCTGTGAATGCTACGAGCTTATCCGTAGGTAAGATTTTCACATCCCCTGATGTCCCCAGACCCTTGGATTTGAAATGGGTATTTTGATTTTGAGGAGAGTACTCTACATGAAGTCCCAGTGACGTTTTCAAAATTTTCTCAAAGTTGTTACATTTTTCCCCCATAATAGAGCAAAAAATGATGCAGTCCACATTTGGTTGGATTCTCTGACCTTTCGAAAATTGAAGAAGTTTTCGCTGCTCCTTCCTAAAACTACAATATTGAAGATACATATTTTTTGTAACCCAATCTGTTCTTCACAAATAGATCTTTAAATAAGATCACATACAATTTTTTAAAGTATTTTTTTCTCAGCATTTTCCACCTCATTTTGTGGGTAAGAAATTTTAAAACAAGACTTTCTTAAAAACAGCTCCAATGTTTGTTCTTCACTTTTTTTGTCAAGTAGTACAAAGAATACTTACACAGTGACAAGGTCCTGTTTTCATTAAACTCTTGAATTTTTGAAAACGCATGGTGAATTTTCGAAAATAGTGGTGCTGCAACAGAATGCACTGTTGTAGCACCACTATTTTTGAAATTAATTATGTAAGGCAAACTTTATTGTTTGAAGTGAATACAAAACCAAGGGAAAAAAACAATATGCCAACATTATCATCTATGCTAACATTATAGTCTGTAGGCCTCACTCAAGATCTTATGTCTCACACATTAATTTGGTAAGGCATATTTTGCAATACTGTGCGACACAGAGTGTTAGCACAATATTTTCTGACTACGAACAATGGTATTACTTAGAGCAGGAAATACCTATTAAAAAATTCTCAGAGGCTTCATTTTAGGTTCGAGTTCTTTACATACTATGAATATATAACAAGAAATTGACAACTTTATTTCCCTTCTGAAGGATTTGCTCAAAAATCTTGTATACCGCTAAATCTTGCTAACACACAGCATAAACTTACAATTTGTTCCCTTGGAAATCCATGAGAAAAACAGAATTAGTGAGTTGAATTGAAATTATTAAAAAATGAGTAATGTATCAAAATTAACAAATATTCTTTAAAATTTAATTTTGGAAACAATTTTTACCTCTCTCATCAATTCTACTGTCTCTTTCCTATTTTCAGATTAAAACAAATTAGTTTCAAAAAAAATGTTCAAATTGAAAAATTATTAAAATTAATTAAAAAAATAAATGAAATGACCAGTTGTTTACAAATATTTTAAATCATATCTTCAATAATTGTGTCTCATAAAAATTCAGGAAAAAAATTACATAAGTGTTTAAGAAGCATTTACCAATAAGGAACATAGCATAGCTGTAATAGATGAGCAATATGATAGCTGGGACCCATTTCATTAAATCCATCTTCATTCATATTGCATATAAATACAATAGTGATGTGGTCAAGATATCACTTTTCCACTCACCCCTAATACTGAACTTGTAATGCTTCTCATCACTAATTTTTTTAAGGATTATAGATAAGGAATAAAAGATTCAACAAATAGTTCAATGACCCAAGATGTGCTAAAAAGTTTCAAAGGAATTGAAAATTCTAATTAAGAACTACATAAACTGTAAATATTCTTTCTCTTTAACATGTATGTGCACTTCAGTTCCCATAAAATCTGAAATATTTCAGATAACAGATGTATAGAGCAACTAACAATACAACATTATAGAAATTTGGCTGTTTTGAAGGTGAAAATAAAATTAATCACAGTGTTTATTACATTTATGATAAAAAGAAACAAAAATTTCAGAATTAAAACTTCAGACTTCCAAGCCATTTAACTTCAATATATCAAAAACAATATCTTTTATAAGTCATTAACTGAGTATGACCATTCATTAGCGATGTAATGCCAATTGCCATTTCCAAAGAAACATCCAAAAATATTAAAATCTTATTTTGTAATCTATGTAGTCTTCTGAACATAAGAAAAGAGTATATGGCAAGCAATTACTGGCAAAACACAAATTATTTCTTGAAATACTGCTCTTTCTTGCCATGGAAGAGAAACGCTGCTTTCTTGGTATGGAAGAGATGCTGTGTGTCAATTTACATCTTATTAAGAGAAAGAATGAATCAAATCCTACAATCTTGAAAATATAAAAAAAATTCAAAAAAAGGAAACAAAAATATTACAATTAGAACTTAGGGAAAGGTGAAAGAAATTGGAAAGAATAAAAACGATTAGATTAACATGAACATTATGCTTTCCAAATAAAAAATTTATTACATTAAACAAGACAATAAATATTGGGCAAAATCAAAGTCTAAATAATATTCATAATAGCAAATTCAATCATAATACACCTGATAGAAAAAATACTAAAAAAACAGATGTAAGCTATTATTGACATATGGCAAGCAAAGATTAAATTAAATTTTACAAAGCATTAGGTTGATAAGTATCCACATGACTAGTAAAATATATAATCATCTAAATACACAAAAAGCTTGGAGTATGAAAATAATATTTTATTTCAAATCCATCATGATTTTGAAAGTCTTTCAAATTTTGAAGATAGGAAAAAAATAAACACTTCGAATGTTTTCACTAGTGAATATTTATAATTAATGTAAGCACGCAAGTTTAAGGCACAAATAAATACACCCAATTTCATTTCTAACTAGAAACCAATAGATTCTACACTCTTGGTTCAACTTCTCTCTAATTAGACTAGTGTGCTACAATACTTTTTTAACTCTGTGAGCAATTAATATCTTTTTAATGATATTTTCCTCTCACAACTATCTATATTATCATATAATTACATTAGTAATGGCAGAGTAGGCAGGATTCAGACAGTTTTGAAGAAGAAATGTTTAGTACTACTATACAAAAAGAAAGCATGAAGATTTATTTGAGAGACAGAAGTGTAGACTTGCCTGGATTATTAATATCCGTGGGTTGTCACTCTTCCTGTGATGTTTACAAGTATCTGTAAACCAACTTGATACAAACACACCTCAAATTTATCAAATGAAACAATGTATTAACATTCTTGTTGAAGTGAACCAGATAAAGAAAGTTTTTATACGATACTCAAGTCAGTGCACTACATAAGCAGAGAGAAAATAGCATGGTTAAAACACATCTTGGATGTTTCCTGCCATATTGATATTTCCATACTATAATGTTAAGATAAAAAGTATTTATACATACATCAGTCAATAAAATGGTACTTGTATGGACACAAGATTGTCAATAACACATATTTTCACTACACTTGAATAACCAAGAATGCAAATTTTATTATCAGTGTATTATATAGTATTCGGGTCCAAAAGCAGTGCAATATCTAACATGCAGTAACACAGCAATGTAAGCAACTTTAAAGCTTCCCTTTGGCATATTAATATAAAAAATAAATATTTCTGAATATCAAGAGCACATCAATTTTGAAATGCTTATCGTGGAAGACATAAAAACTTCTTACATTATATTTCCATATTGCATCAAAAATACAATGCAGCAAGTGCACACTTTGAGGAACTAATCTATATGTAAGAAAGATCCACTATGACTGTAACCTTAAAATTTGCTTTGTCAGCAGTCTCCATCAGTTATCTATTAAATATTATAACAACCATATATAATAAAATTAATTTTAAGATTTAAACAAAAACAGTATTGCAATGTTGAAAGATTCTTTAGATCAATTCCGTCAGTTTTTAATTTTCACAGTGCTCGTTTCAACATATCTTGCAGGCCAATAGATCAAGTGTTGTTTTATTTTTTTTTTTGTAATTCAGCAAATCATTTACTTTCGTTTGCTATATTCAGCTTCTACTCTTCTATAGTGCGTTTCAGCCGTATAATGCCATGCAGCTATAAGAAACATAAAAAGCTGTTAGATTTGCATTTGTAAACAAAACAGAATTATGAAAAGGCAAGAAAAAAATAAGGTCCCAATCCCCTGAAACAAATACTTAATGATGCTAATTGATGCATATGAAGCAGCTCTTTCAGCATTATTATGTTAACATTCACAGTATTGCAATATTGCACGTTCAATTCGTAATTAGTAGTTTCCAAACAAAAAAAGAAAAATTGTAAGAGCAGGGCAAATATGCAATGATAACCACACAAAGGAAAGTTTTTAATTCATTTTGTAATCCAATACTTAAAAGCAACATTACAAAACTCAATAAATTATAGTTATATTAATTGTACAGTAGCCACTTGTAACCTCATTAAATTATAATACTCTAATATACTTATATTTTTATGATTAAGACTTCAATGAGATTTAGATTTACAGAAGAATCAAGCTGACATTTTGACAGGGTAACTATACAAGGAGCAACAACATGACACCAGCATACACAGTGTATCACTAAAAACATTAACACATGTCTAGAGGAATTTCATTATTACTCCTTCACAATACATGCTAAGGCATATGTCAGACAATGCACAAATATGGTGCAATTCTGTAAGTTAAGTCACAGAATGCACTTTCCATTTAAGAAAAGATCTCTTGTTCCATACCAAGGGCTTCAAGAAAAATTCCCATTGGCGTTCGTTTTAAGCCAATGATTTCCAGCTTATTAGTTAGTTTGTTCTTCATATTTCTAAGGCGCAAAGATGCATGAACAAATATAACTGTAAAAGAAGAAAGCATCTCATTTATATTGTTCTCAAAAATCACATCCACTTAAAGTACTACACAACTGACTTACCCATTACAGGCAACAAAACTCCAAACAAAAAGACTACCACAGAACCAAGCAAATACACAATGAAATAACCACCACCCAAAATGAGAATCACACTAAGAATTGGATAGTCTTTTTTGATTCTAGCAGCTGATGGAGTTGCATTTGTGAAGTAATAAAATAATCCGAATGCAATGGAGATAGCAATAACTCCACATGACATCTGAACAGGATGCAACAACCTACAAACGGATAAATAACAATATATTTTATAAGCACAAAGATCTCAAAAGATTAACAATACATACTGAATAAGGATTTTGAAGACTAATGTACATAACTTACCCTACAATCAAGAAAATTACAATGGCAAGCATAAAGTAATTTGTCTGATAATACAACAGATTGTTCACCACCCTGTTTCCCCATTTCTCTAAATCTTTGAAATTTGGAACTTGAAAACGGGCCGATTCCAGAAGAAAATCATCTAAGCTACGCAAAGGCGAAATTGCCACTTCGTTCCCTGTCTTATCCATGTTTGAAACCCAATTGCTGAACGAGATACACTCACGCCTCTATTTATGACATCTGACGCATACGTCAGTATCTACAACTATAGTCGACACTGAACACGTATTGCAAATGCAACTCGGGAATATTCAACTTAAGGATATTCCTGGGTGAATTAAAATGACAACCGTGCCAACAAGAGAAAAACACTCAAATGCAGAACGCAACACCGTTTCCAAGAAGTCAAAGAACAATTCTCCCTGATTATGCGCAATACAACGAAATGCAATTTAAAGAGATTCATTAGATAACGTCACTCGTGGAAACCAATGAGGGCAGCACCGACTATTACTAATGATCGAAAATGTTAAAGAATTGTAGCTAAAGCTTTTCGTTAATGTTTTTCAAACTAATAAAAATGTCAACTGCCAAAAACACGAGAATAATTATTTGGCATTGCAAAGCATGATTTTAAACGCGGCAATGGAAAACGAAAATTTATATTTACTGTCATAGCACGAAAGCAGTAAATATAAATTTAATAACACTTTTTACTGAACAAAAAAGTACTATTTGAAGTGAATGATTTATTCTCGGCTCACTTTGAAAGCATATTCACGTTCTTTTTTTATTCGGTAATTTAAAAATGTACGACAAATAAAACGAAACAAATTTTCAGAAAAGTGGCCAATACACTTTCGACTATGGAATTTCTTAGACATTTTAATTTCAGGACTTAAGAAATGTCCACAACATGGCTTCGAGATCTGATGAGGACAGAGTCGCTTCTGGGTGGCAAGATTCAGATGCACTTTAATTATTAAAGTTAGTATTAATAAAGTTTAATAGCATGCCGCCACCTAATGGTTAAAATACGGCATGTGGCGATTTACGGACTTGGATGCCCGAGAACGCGTACCGACACAGCACTTCGGCCCAAAGTTTCGAGTCCCACTTTGGGTATGGTTCACATTCAGCCGACCCCAGATGAGAGGACCCCACACGTGATGGTGGCAGCTCGTGCTTAGGGTGCACGGTTACAGATCCCCCATATAATCAAAATTATTTTTCAAAGATATTTTATTACATGTTTGGAATATATATTTTCGTCCTAATGAATTCAACATTCAAGATAATGCAGCAATATCGATGTGTATGAAATGATTTTAAACCAAAGAGCGCCAAAGCGAGCGCTCTCTCTGGTGTCTGGAGCTGTCTCAAGCCTTGCACCATGACACGCTCTTGGCATTATTACTGGATTTACTTTAAACGCACAGCTTATGGCGCAGAATGCATGCTGCTGGGCGACCATCGCTTGTACACTCATTACGACGTCAAACCAAATAACAATTCTGTACGCAGGCATTACTTTCTATACAGCGATTAATGCAACTCTTCCCCTACCAGATATTAACTGTTGACGGTTTCATCCAATGAGGAGCTTAAACGTCGCTATAGTGATGTCACTATGGTCACGCTCAAGCTCCCCGTTGGATGAAACTCTTAACAGCAGATACCTGCCAGGGGCAGAGTTGGGAAAATCGCAGTGTAGAGGGCGATGGGTAGAGGCAAGCTGCAGCGCCCCGGCTGCGAGCGCTGGAAGGAGACACAGGTGAAGTGTCCTTGCGGCGAGTAGTGGGAAGGCGAGGACACAGTGGCGAGGCAGGCAGCGGAGAGGCTTTCAAAAATCGTGCCACGACGGGGAGGCGAACTAAGCGGTAATACAGATGTGCGATCGCAATCGCAACGCATTGTGCAATTGAGACAGGCTGGGAAGAGGGCGCTAGCAAGTGGAGGCGAAGGCGCCGGACAGGCAGGTAGAACAAACGGGATCGTAGAAGGGGAAGGAAGAGGAGCAGGGGGTGAAAGAGAAAACGAGAGAAACACAGTATGCCAAAGCTGTGGTTTTTATTGACGTGTAGAATAACATATGCTTACAGTGGTCGGAATTCTAAGAGGGAGCAGCGTGGGTAGAACGACTTTTGGTAGGCGGAGTGCATACATTGTAGATTACGACCCCTGCCATTTCGTTCGTAGCATAATCTAAAAATTCCACCTTTTTCATATTACTCTGATGGAGGCATGGAGGGTAATTCCCAGACAATCAGTAACATGTTTACGAGGTCTCGTGGCAATGTCTTCTGATAACTGATCCAAGACTGTCGTATGTCCTATTAAATGTACATAGAAAGAGTATGCCTGAAGTGTTCATAAAAGAAGTTACAAATTTTAATATTATGTAACCGTTACTAGTCATACGATAGAGTATGCTAGTGGTGATGGTTCAGATAATGTTTAGCATGTACTGCTTTTTCAAAAATATTCTTAATGTTGTTTAATCTGTGGCGTCAAAAACAACACAATCTAACAATCATTATTTTCAAATGAGCTCTGGTTGAGCTGCAAGTATTACACAACATGAAGGCACGTTGGTATTAATATATTATGTCTGAAGAATACGTTAGAGCTTCGTTCGCACAGAACCTTTAGTGATCGGGAGTGAGAATTTGATCCTGACCAGTTTTTGCTTAATACATGCTGTTGAAGTGGGGTAGAGATATTTTCTGTACTAATCATTCACACACCTAGCATGGGGACGCTGAGAGGTTTACTGCGATATTTAGGTCATGAGACTCTTCATTCCGTGTGCTTTCAATATTGGACTGTTCATGACAGAGCGGTAGACCGTTCTCAGTGACTGTTCGGCATAAGAGCAAAAACGCTCCAGTTTGTATTGTACTGTGGTCTCGTACTGACGTGTAAAATGCCGTTGCCGTATTAATACTTGTATGCTTTTCTCACTAAAAATTTTCATTGTTGCGTGACGAATAAGAATCCATTATAAAGTGAAAATCGGTGCAACATTTTGATATCCAAAAAGTTCTGAAATGCCCAGACAAAAGATTATCAAAATTTTAAACAGCTTCATAAACTCAAGTGTGTCTGATAGTGCTGTGGCCAATATTTCAAAAATGATTATTTTACCTTGTTTAATTTTAACTAAGAAATAAAGGGGAGGGAATATCATCATGATGATTATGATGGCGTGTGTAGGTGTGTAGAAAACGCTCAAAAATTCTTCCAACACTGATTTCACTAATAGTAATTTGTAATATTAATCGGTATTTCATTATTTTAAACTTGCTCACATAAAAGGAATTGTACAAACTGGAATGAAAGGCAATTTTACCAAGATTAGGCTCGCGAGCCACCTTGGCCAAAGAACAAACCCAAGCCTGCCTCAGCACCAATTAAAAAGTCGGTGAGTTAGGCCCCGCCCCCGCTCTCACTTGTGGAGCAACTCGTTGCGGCCGGGTACCAGGAGGTAGGGATCACGTTTAACGCCCGTGGTGCGCTGGTTAATTTCAGTTTAAAAAGCATGTTGAGAAAGCCTTCGCGGGGTTGGATTGGAGGGTTGTCATCCCTCCCTCTCCTCCTAGAACCCCATCCATCACTCCCCCGGCACCTTTGTTCCAAAGGAAACAGATGCAGTCGCCCCCACCCGGGTTGCATCCTATCTGTGCTTCTATCATAAGGCTGTGGAAATCCAGTGGCGGGAGTGGTATCAGGCCGCGGTGGCGAAAACCGTTGTCTCCCCTCAGAAAAAACAGACGCAAAAGCAGGAGTCCAAGAGGGACAACCCCCCTAGAAACCTGCAGAATCCTCTTTCACAGTTGAGGTAATAGAGGCAACTACATCGAGAAAAGTCTGGTAGAGTTCGGCGCCGACCGCGTCCTGCATCACGAGTGCCGTCTCCCCAGCCCTGTAGGAGATATGGGAGGTCGTGGGTGGACCCCCACCACGGCTGTTAGCAACGGAGGGTGCTACTGGGCAAACTGCCGCCCCACGGTTCAGAAGCAACCCATCGCACACTCTTGGTCTGCTGGGAGTTGACCAAGGCAACGCCCGGGAGCTGACCCATGCGCCTGCAGTGACTACGAGGGGGCTCACCTGAACGCCGCTGCCCCAAGGAATGCAGGATCTGCGACCCTAAAAGTGCCGCGATCGCAGGACCAACGCGAGCCCCCGAACTAGACGGTTCCAGGTTATTCGTGAGTCGCGTAGAAATGTAGAGCAAGTGCCGGATGTGTCGAGGCGGGAGCCGGCTAGGTATAAATTCGTCGCTGCCGGCGGCCGCGTGTCAGTCAGACAGTAATCAGCCGCGAGTCAGTCAGTGTATGTAGTCAGTGAGTAAGCAGTCAGTCCGTCAGTGTGAGTATGCAGTAGTCTGTCTGAAGTGGAAGCTGAGCTGTTAAGTGTGCATTGCGGTGAACAGTGGTGCAGTAGGGGAACAGCAGTCTGCAGTCTGAAGTCTGTAGTGCTGCAGTGGAATCTGAGCTGTGAAGTGTGCATCACGATAAACAGTAGGGCAGTGGACTCTGGGCTGCGCAGTGAAGTGTGATCTGCGCAGTGAAGTGTGGTCTGCGCAGTAAATTATGGTCAGCGCAGTGGACCGTGTGGGCAGAGAATCGGACTGTGCGATAGTGTAGAAGACGTGAATAGTGTAAATAAATAATCAAGTGAACTGAGACGTGTATAAGGAAATAACCAAGTGAAGAACATAAAGACTGTGTAACCTATCTGTAAATAAATCAAGTATTTTAGTTTATCATTAAGAAACAGAATAAACGTTTTTGTTTAAATAAAAATATTAAATATTAAAACCTGACTGTGTTTTAATTCACCACATAATCGGTGTTTTTAGTTGAAGTCATTGCCCGTCCTTTTCCCCGCTAACGCGGGCGAGACTGTCAATTAATACGTAGTTTCAATGAGGCGGCAAGACATTTTGTGGCAGGAATAGTGCCTGTCAGTTTAGACGCAATGGAAAGGAATGTAAATTTTCTGTAACCCATCATTTACGCGCATGCTCATATTCTTCCCCATAACCGTGTTAATTGTTAATTAAATGTGTTATAAGGGTATGTTTGTTTTATTGACCGTGCAATCACGCATCCGACCCTACCGGCACTTCCTTCCCGGGTGTGCTGCTAGATGTCGCATGTGACACCATATGACATCTAGCGGCACGTCCGAGAAAGACACGAAATGCCGTAAGATATTCCATCGTGTAGATGGGCCCTCGAACGCCTAGAAATAAAAAGCCAAGTATATGTACGTGTTGTCGCGGAAACCCTCGAGTTCTGGAGACCTGATGTAAACAAATACACGAGCTAAATGCAGCCTCTTATTGGTTGCTTGGATTTCCGGAAAATAGTTCTTAACGAAATTATATATTTCCTTGTTTAAATGCATATTTTAAAACACAGGAAGGAATTTAATGCAATGTGTCGTGTACAAGGGGCATACAACCCCAAGGCAAGAGAAAGTGGCTTCCGTGGACACCACCGTGTCCGATTTCCGGAGCATCTTCCCTTCTATGAAGTTTTTGATCTCGTCAAGACGCTTTATTCTTGCTGGCTTCGTAAAAATGCACTGACCGAGTATGTGAGTCGTGGTTTCTACCGCTGTATTGCACTTCCTGC